CAGGGGGATGTCGGGCATTGTGGTTGGTTTTCTTTTCTTTTTAGTTGGCTTGTATGTGATTGGTGGTGAAGTGAGTGACACTATATAGTGTGTGTGTTGGTGTAGAATACTTAAGTGTAGCGTAAAGTATATATATAGGGATGTCGGTAGATGTAGGCTATTTATATAGCGAGTGTCGCCGGGCCATAAGACAAGCATGTACACGTACCCCTCCTTCTCCAATTCGGAGTACTTGTCAGGATCTCTTCCTAGTCATTATTATCTTGCAGCTGGGCTATAGTCTATCGTGCTAAGTCTGAGGGGAAGCTGTTCGTCCCCGCAGATGAGATATCGGAGGTTGTCCGTTATCTTTGCTCCGACGGATCTTCAGCTATGTCTATTCTGGGCAGGTTGTGGGGGACGATAAGATAATCGATTGTTTGTTTGGTTGATTGATTAGACACATTACGTACATATTTGGCTTCTTTCTTCCTTATTTATCTTGGATTATGGCCATTTTGCTTTATAGACGGAGTTTAGGTCAGTCGTTGATGAAGTTGGCCGTCGGTAACCTTGCCGATATCCTGCATGCCGTGTGGGATAGTATATTTCCGGCCCTAGATTCCCTGTCGTGCGGTAAGATTGGTCATTGGTTTTAGAAATAAAATAGTCTTCGAAAGTAAATACTTATTTCGATCGCAATTTCACTTCTGATCAGGATCAAATGTTTGGTGTGGTTGCATTTTAGTACTCTGACCTAGTTATATATGAGCTCATTGCATATATGTCCGAGTCTCCTCTTGACCATTCACTTACCTACGATGGTTTTACAATTTCTAATGACATCCCATGTATCATGCTCAATTATTAAAATAGGAAGAACAACGGTGCTTATTAACCAGATTATGCAGAAGTGTCTGGACACTGCTTTTGAGGCAGGTGCTCTGCCTCGTGAGGATACGCCCAAGGACAAGGAGATCCGCATGGTGGGGCTTCAAGAGGTCGCTGATAAACTCATGGCGGGGCTTTTGGATGTCGCGGAGCGGGGTCTTGGAGGTCATAAGAAGATGAAGGGCACCGTGGTCAAGAGGCTGTTCGGTTGCAATCCGACGAGGCTGGAAGAGGCCTGGAGCCAGGAGTACGTGGATTCGCTTGAGTTGCTGCAAAGTGGGAACGGGCTGGATACTTTGGAAACATGTGTAGGCAGGGAGAATGATGGCTATTTTAGAGTAACGTGGTGATTTAGGAATCCAACCGGTTTGGAGGGTTCCATTGGATCCTGTGTGCTATGGAACTTGATTTTTGTAGTAATACTCTGGATGATTGAAAATTTGTGGCAGTACACTAGCTTGGAGCTGGACTAGCTCTGGAGTAGATATACTAATAGAGGAGCTAACGTGAGTATACTCAATATAGTTTGGGATCAAGTGCCACAGGAAGTAAAGATCCAACAATAACCGGGGAACACGCCAGTCAACAATAGAGTACGCCAGCTGGAGATCTACGTGAGATAGATATTCAGAAATAAATGCATAAAAACAACATCCACCTATATTACGTTAGTCAGATAATTCCCTGGCTGGGAGCTTTAGAATCTTCCGATCAGAGGGCACTGTGTAGCCAGTGACCTGAAACATAGGTCGCAGAGCGGCCTGGCACACAGCATCTGGCGCCAAAAGCAACTACTTCCAAGTTAAGTAAGAGATTATTTACCTAGCCAGAATACAAAATAACTTTCTGCTGTAGTTACTAAGCAGGCCATGCTTGGATAAAATCATCGGAACTGACCAAGCTGAACTGACACATCACAGCCAAACTGACAACGCTGGATTGAGAAGGCTGAACCGAAAAAAAGTCGACTGTTGGCAGGACAAACACTTTTACCTAAATATAAAGAGAGTGTGTTTGGCCTGGCAGCTGAAACCTCCACGTATTTTGACATAGCTACTCGAGTCAAATACTGCCTATTGCAATGGCTAGTCTACAGATTCCCGACGAAGCGTTAGTAACCATTAAAGACAAAGTCATTTTGATTACAGGTTCGCTTATTCCAAAGTCATACTTGCAGCAAGACTCATAAACCTTGATAGGCGGTTCCTCGGGCATCGGTAGAGCGACAGCGGAATTATGCCTCCAGCTAGGAGCAAAAGTTGTCATCGGAGACCTCAACCCCGCTCCAGATGACTTGTCGGGCATCAAGAACCTGAAGTTCGTAACGGCAGACACCACCTCATGGGACAGCCTGCGAAACCTGTTCAGCCAAGCTGTAGAAGCATTCGGGCGAATAGACCACGTCTTCGCCAACGCCGGTATTGGCCCACGGACGGATTTTCTGGATGAATCGCTCGATGAAAACGGCGAGCCCGCGCCCCCAGACATGCAGGTCCTCAACGTCAACTTGAATGGGGTGATATACACGACCAGATTGGCTGTTCATTATTTTAGGAAGTTCGCAGGCCAGAATGCCGGGGTAATCCCTGGAAGTATTGTCCTCACGGCTTCGGCGTCGTCATTCCAGCCCTTTGGCGGCCTTGACTACGCCACGGCTAAGCATGGTGTCTTGGGCCTGATGCGTGGCTTGGTCGGTCGACTGCCCCCAAGTGTCAGGGTGAACGCTATTGCACCGTCGTGGACGGTAAGTGGTCTTGTTTCTGCTGATTTCCTTGCGTCGTTGGGCGTGATTGCGCAAGGCCCGGAGGTTGTGGCGAGAAGCGTGGTGCTTCTTTTTACTGACTCGGAGAGGAATGGTCATCTAATCTACAGTTGGGAGGGCAAATATAAGGAGATTGACAAGGCGGAGGGAGGGCTCCTCAGTGCGGCAAAAGATATAATTGGGATCCCTGTTACTGAGGAGGAAGTCTTCCAGAAAATGGAGGGACGCTCAAGCAATGGGACGTAGTTAGGCATGTCATAGTTGAATGTTGTTAGTGTGCAATTGAATGTTGTTAATTTGAAGATTCTATATTTAACTCCTTATACGGGAAGACGACAGTAATGGCGTATAATTGCCATAAACAATTTCTACTGTTTAGCAGCCACTTCCTTCTCGCCAGCCGTACCGGCCCTCCCAACAGTTACCGACGAGCTCAGCAACTTCTTCAGCGACACCGCTGCATGGCCCAGCACATAAGCCCCCAAGCTCAGAAAGTTCAACCAAACCAGTGCGACAAAATAAACCAACAGCCGTGGTGGAATCAACTTAAACATCTGCGTCGGATTAAAGCCAGCCATCTCTTCAAATTTGTCCATCTCGACTGACAAAGCCGTTGTACTCTCGTCGACATCCACCACGTCATCCGTGAATGCATCATTGTATATAGCGGTAGCCATGACACTCCCAAAGACAGTCATAAAAAATAACAACACCGCCTGGTTAAGCAGCTCGTATAGCCATGTGCAGCACAACCCAAAAAGAACGACGGCGCCCCGACGCGATCCATGGTCTGCAGAGGCAACCAATCGAGCAATAGTATCATCTTGGCGAGTTGATGGACTCGACTCACTCGAGGCAACGAGAAGACGGCAGAAGAGAAAGGTAAGGAGACTGCTCGACGCGATGATTTCGAGGTAGGAGCTATTACTGTTGAGTACGTTGAGTGCCGTGAAAGCAAGTGCTGTTAACGTCCAGGCGAGGAGTAGGAGGACAGCGACCCCGGTGTAGAGGCCGCTGCTGAGCTGGAAGAGTCCATGAGCCATGATGTCGGCCTACGCTAGTGATGAAAAGGCGAGAGAAATTTTCAGTGTTCCTTCTCCTGAGCCAGTCACCTGACCTTGAGGACCAGCAACTCATAGGAATCGATTAGTCTGTTTTATGGATACCACTTCATCCTTCTTCCCCATCTGACCCAAAGTGAGCGAAAACTATTGCTAAATTAGGGCTGAAGATGTAGCAATCGCAACGCCCAATCTGGTCATCGGTTCGGCTCGTCCCGCGCGAAATTTGATGCCTTGGTGCCTGCATCATGGACCAGCAATAACACCGCTGTGAGAGAGCAAAACCGCTCAAGCGCTGATTACCACTACACGCAGACAAGGACAAAGGAGCACCGAGTTCCCTGAGTCTCAGCTGTCGGGGCCTCCATAGTCCTGCAACATGGCAGCGCTCTTTCGTAGTCCTGACCCCGCAAGCTCTGCTTTCCCACTACCCACCAGAGAGCCAATTCCCAAGATCTAGCATATGAAGTGTGGATATGCCGAGTATGTATGAGTAACCTGCATTCAAGGTCTCGAAATGTGGAAACAAGACGGAAGCACGTCCCCTTCGAGCGCTACCAGCCGCGATACACTCATGACAGACGTGGGCACCTGAACAAGAAAGTCGACTGTGGCTGGTCTTTGATGGTCTTCTACCACGCTGAGCGGTGCATGTCGACTTCTACCGTCATCGGAGCTTCGGTTTATCTCGCCACTTTCATATAGATGCCTAAGAAAAGCCATTCGGCTACAGCAAGTATTAGGGAGATCAGAAGGATGCCGAGTATATATGGGTGAAACGTACTCGTCTAGTGACGCAGATGGCGCATCGGCACCGCCGGAAGGCATTGTTGGGCCACTTCAATATCTCCACTATTATACTCTTGTTCCCCACTCCTGGAGCAACTGAATATATACGCCATTAATTGAGATGATCTTAAGGCCCCACGCCCCCTCACCCCGGATTCCACGTGACAGGATGAAGTGCGGAGAAGGATCATCGATAACTACCTCCACGCTTCTCTAGCTACTGGAGCAGTTGAATTCATTCGAGCCACATACACCATGAGTACATCCGGTAATCAACGGGCAACTGCTAAGGTTGATCGGAAACGTATTACGGACCGCAGAGCCCAGCGGAACCACCGAGAACGTGTCAAGGCGTATATCAGTCATCTCGAGACCACTGTTGAGGAGCTTACCAAAGCGTCCCAGAAGGGCTCTGAACAGAGTCTACTACAAAAGCTGCAAGAAAAGCAGTTGGAGATTGAGCAAATTAAAAGGGCGATACGGCAAGCCAACGAGGCCCTACGCACTGCCCTTGGCGCGGCCTCATCCATATCACCTGCTATCGCCGAGACCGTGCATAAAGATTCCCCAGAGATAGCTAGCCAGGATAAAACGGCACAAGGACTCAATGATCGCAAAATACAGTTGGAATCCATATTCGAGGAAAGAGATATCTCTCCCAGTACGAGCCGTGGCAGTCAATTCCACAACGACCATAGGATAAAGACTTTGCATTCACCATATGGCAATCTGGCCTGTGGAGATGGGCAAGTGAACTACTTCCAGGTAGTTAATGAGTCCATAGTTCACGTGCTCAGTGCTGGCCCACTGACAACTTCCGCCGATGATGACGATGACTTGGCCATTCGGGCTATCTTACATGGGTGGAATGCTGTTAAAGAGAATAGGCCACTCGACCATGGCTGGAACTTTCTCAGAGCTCTAGACCAAGGACTATTTCACCGCACTGGCCCCGTGGAGCGCCTGGCCATCTTGCGCCTAATGCGATCCATGCTGATGGTGGGTCGCAACAAGTAATTATTTGTGTACCTCTTGTAACCTTGAGTAGTCGAAAAGAGGATCCCCAGAGCACTCCACCGGCCAGATTCCGTCATTCATGTTCCCCACGTACGTACCAGCCATCCTGCGTCAATATGAAGCTAAAGCAGTGTGTAACATCAGCACCATGCAAACCCTTGTTGCTCATGCCTGTATTGTCGACTTTTTCGTGTGGTAAGGACTAGAAGATACGGACATTATTCAACATTGCGTATTGATCAGAGATAGGCCAAACCTCCGCGACCATTTAATCGCCTCCGAAACCTCCCACACTCCCGAAGCAGCAGCGGCGCATTATGCGACAGAAATCCAGCTAAGTTGGCCATACCTGGTTCGAGATGCCTTCAAGTACAACGAAGAGAAAGGCAAGTTCCAGTTTTCGGTCGAATTCAACAACGTTTATTACGACTTAAAATCATGGCAGTTTCGTTCGAACCCAGCACTCAAGATGCTTGTTGCGAATGGACCAATGTCGTCACTGGAAGGGCGCTTGCAGGCCTCGACAAGTGTACTCATGAGTCCTCTGGATCCAAATGGGTTTATTGAAGCGGGGGCTGTTGCTGGCTATTGACTTGATGGAATTGTGCTGCGGCTGCATGCCATAGCGGCTGTTAAAGACGTAGTCGACGTGAATATGACGAATCTTAATTCTGAAGACGATAGCAATATTACATACTCTGAACTTCGACTTAAGGTAACTTAGTCACTTCTCCGCAGTATCCACTGTGAGCATGCCTGCATCTAGCGCACCTGCCAATGATTGCATCATCGGTATTCCTTGTGTCAGCTGCACTTTGTCAGTCTTGCGAAGTCAGCTTGACGTAGTCAGCTTCTTCTTCTTCTATCTCCGCATTGTCATTCCTGCCTCGGGTATACGCCGAAGATATCCCGAGGGATGGGAATAACTACTTATACTTGAACAGAGAGGTCATACCTTTGCATTATTTCCCATTCAACGCAAGTGCCTTGGATATATTCTACAAATAGTGTCCGACAAAATGGCTGGGTTTCCGCTGAAAGACTACGGAGAGGAGCTCAATGGCGGTGATCTCCTCGCGCAGACACTCAAACACCTCGGAGTGGAGGTAGCCTTTGGTCTACATGGCGGGCATCTTGATGCATTTCTCCAGGGTTGTGAAGCTTCTCAAATCCGGTTGATCGATACCCGACACGAGACAGTTGCTGTCCAGGCAGCCGAAAGCTACGCCAAATTCTCCAAAAAGATTGGTGTTTGCTTCATTACAGCCAACAGCGGGTGTGTGCCTCAATCCCCCGGTTGCCCTTTAACTGACGCGAACTGACCTGATTCAAAAGCTTCTCCAATGGTATCCCTGGTCTGGCGACAGCTCTGGCCGATCGGTCACCGATTCTCTGCATAACGTCCTCGCCTCCAACTCGCGATCTGGAGAACAATTCACTTCAAGGCATAATTGACCAGGTCGTTGTTTCTCGTCCGCTGACGAAGTTTGCCTACCGGATGACGAACCCTGAGGATACTCCGCGAATCGTTAAGCATGCTATCGGAGTCGCAACTTCTGGAGCGCCCGGTAGGTTTTCTCAACGGTGTTGAACCTAAGTAATTTTATAATTCAGAAACTTACTGGAGATAGGCCCTGTGCTTCTTGACTTCCCGATTGATGTATTATTCACGCCTGTACATAAACCTCTGATATCGTGGGGGTCGGTTTCTTCACCCTTCCCATATGGACCTGGCCCACACACCGCTGCAATTGACGGGACAGTTGAATTATTGAACGCTGCAAAAAGGCCTTTGATCATACTTGGAACAGGAGGCAATTCCAAAGAGGTACAAAGCCATTCCTACAAACTGTGGATTTGTGCTGACCGTGCAAACGTGTACAAGGCAGGAGAGAGTCTCATGAAGCTATCGGAAACATGCGGCATTCCAATTTTCGACACGATGAAGTGCAAGATATCCTTCATTCCCTCGCAGTTCTCTTTCAATGCAGGGCCCAGCGGCATCCTTGCCCTTCTACCGCGCCTTGGTATCCAGCAGCCTGATCTCATCTTGCTCCTCGGTGCCAGAACCGGAATGTTCCTTGGTGGTCGATCGGGTGCGATTATACCCGAGAAAGACTGCAAGCTGGTCCAAGTAGACGTTGATGGTGCGGAAATTGGCAGGACACTTCCGGTCGACCTCGGAGCTATTAGTGATGTTACTCAGTTCGCTGCTGCATTGAACCGTCATTATGATAGCACCCCTTTCCAGGGCTCAGTGGACACCCAATGGGTGAATAATATCCTCAGTGTTAAAGGTCTGGCGTCGCCTTATGAGCAAGAAGCAGAGGTCCAGCCATCAGGACGTCTCCATCCATACCACGCACTGAAGCATGTCTTAAGCTCAGTTCCAAAGGAAAGCATCGTCATCCTTGATGGCGGCGAAGCGCCGCTTTGGGCATCGAATGTGATATCCCATTGCTCGCCCAATGCAATAGTAAAGTCGTCCGGGAGCCTTGGGTTCTTAGGTAACGGGTTTGGATACGCCCTCGGAGCAGCTGTGGCATGTCCTGATCGGACGGTCATTAATCTGCACGGAGACGGATCCGCGGGATTCCATTTTATGGATCTGGATACTTACAAACGACACAATCTGAATATTATGACGATTGTAGTCAATAACTACTGTTGGGGAATGAGCTCGAATGGACAGGATTTGATCTATGGTACCAAGACTCCTACCCGTCCTGTGAGTCACCTGAGCCCTGTCACGGATTACAGTCTTGTGGCGAAGGCACTGGGAAATAGTAGTGTGAAGATACAGACAATCAGCGATGTGGCTCCTGCGCTAGCAGGATTGGTGAATCAAAACGGCCCGACTTGCATCGAGCTGGTCGTGATGATAAGCCTACTCATCCTATTACTGTCGCTATGGTGGGCCAAACTGATGAGCCTGGGATGGTGGTCGTTCCATATTATGATAATGTTCCCAGGGCATACTATAAATCCTGAGGCTATGTAGGTTGCCTTTCTGGCATAGTGGAATGCTAGTCTGCTCAGGGCACCATGGAAATAATATCTATCAGCGTTCATTGTATACCTTCATTCAGTTAAGAATATTGACTTGACTTTTCTCTATAATTCTAGCAATCCTTATTAGACGGTAGGAAGACTGTTCAGCCATCTATTTATTAATTGAAGCTATAATAATTTGTCTCACGTCGTAAAGATAATCCAAGAGTACTTACATTTGTGTCATTCCCGCAGCAGACTATGTCAGGACCGCTTTGTCAGTCAAGGCGCCTCCGCATAGGATCTGGGATTCGGCTATCCGATTAGCCAAAAATGACCAAAGCCATGCTTGTGTTATTTGTGGCCGAGGGCCGAGATACATTTTGGGTTAGCTTGGTTGCAGTTATCCTTGAAATCAAATAACCCTAGTCAGTATCATCCATACGCATATGCCGGTGTGGACCGTCTACATATAACTTCCAATATCCTATCATCAAGACCGCTTGATTGTAAGAAATACAGTTGAAGCACAATCAGCCAAGATGAAAGCAGCACGATTCTACGCAGCCGGAGACATCCGGATCGAAGAGGTCAATGCCCCTGAAGCGTCAGATGAAAAGGCCCTAGTTCAAGTAGAGTGGTGCGGAATATGTGGGAGCGACCTCAACGAATATATCCACGGTAAGTAAGGGACCATCTTAATAGAATATCTATGTAGAACTAACAACTTCCAAGGACCAATGGCAATACCCCACGCTGGTCCACACCCTCTAACTGGTGATATTCTCCCCGTAACGCTTGGCCACGAGGTCTCTGGACGCATTATCCAAGCGCCATCGACGTCTTCACTTTCTCCTGGTCAGGCAGTCATCATCGATCCTCGGTTCTATTGTTCATCCTGCACGGCATGTACCTCGTCTGTCACGAATTGCTGCCAATCCTTGGGCTTCCTAGGCCTCTCCGGAGGAGGGGGTGGCTTCTCTGAGAAAGTCGCCGTGCCGCCGGCTATGCTGCATCCGATCCCTGATAATACCGACATGGCTACAGCGACTCTTATCGAGCCATTGGCTGTCGCCTGGCACGGAGTTAGGTGCTCAGGCGTCCAGGACTTCAAGGGCCTGCCCGTTTTAGTCGTAGGTGGTGGCCCAGTTGGTGTAGCTACAGTTTTCGTGTTAAGGGCATGGGGCGCAGACACGATCTATGTCTCTGAGACAGCCCGTCGCCGTAGAGAGTTTCTCCAAGACCTGGTGCAGGCTACATTTGACCCGATGGAGGTCAATGTTGGCTCGGAGTGTAAGACCCTCACGAATGGAAGTGGCGTAGGGATGGTCTTCGACTGCGCTGGATCCCAGCAAGGACTGGAAGCCGCATCTGACGGCCTCCGGTTCCATGGTCTATACATCAATCTGGCGGTGCCGAAAGCTCCAGTATGTCTTTCTTGGCGTCATATTCCATCGTGTTTTATCCCGCTGATCGATGGTGCAGATCTCCCTGCCAGTTGGGTACTTTATGTTCAAGGAATTGACATACAAGGCCTTCCTGGCATACGATAATGCGGATTTCAAGGCCACGGTGGCTGCATTTGTTGAAGGTATGAATGTCAAGCATGTGCTATGACCAGCTGGACTGACTATATCATAGGCAGGTTTGCAGGAGTGGAGCGCATGATAACACGGCGTATTGCGTTGGAAGACCTTGTGGACAAGGGCTTCAAAACGCTCCTCCAGAACGCGGATGAGCATATCAAAATTGTGGCGACGGCGGGGGAGCTGCCACCCACAAAGTCGACTCTCTAGCTGCTACTGTGGGCATTGGTTTGGCTAGTTATGGCGTACTCACAATGTTCCCACGTTGGCCATAATAACGCGGTGGGCTTTATCACCAATAATTCAGGCATTCCAGTGTACAGTATTCCTGGAATGAGCAATTCTTTTGATATGGAGCATCTAAAACATGATCACTAGGTCGAAGAGGTTGGACAAAAGATATGTAACCCTATCCTTGACTTGTAGTAGTATTCTTCAATCAAAATCTGTTCGATGTGTATCTTTTGCAGCTATGCTGTCAGTATGGTCTATATTAGCCGCTTAAACCTGGTCTCAAAGGCCGATGCATAGACAATGTCAAGTCGTAATCCATATATACAGATGCAACCCCCATTCCGTCCCAACAGTGTCTTATTATTCATTACGGTAATTCCACGGGCTCGGATGGTGTCTCTTTCTTATCCTTGCCATACTCGCCTTCATTGCCTCCCCCCACCTTTGCCTTTGTATTATCTTCCCCTTCTAGCTCTGTTGGCCCCTTCACAACCGCGTCCGCGGGCATCTCACTGGGCGGTCCACTCCGCGGATCAGGAGACAGCGCAGATGCATCTGGATTCTCCTGCTGCCAGGGCCGCTCATACTGATGAGCGTCGACCCTCTTCGACCTCCTCCTGATCCAGAAAAACCAGACCAAAGCCCCCACTATCATGAGTCCACCAACTCCAACACCAACACCGATACCAGCTTTCGCACCCGTTGACAAACCGCTTGAAGAAGAATTGCTCTCGTCGGGCACGGCTTCCGACGCAGGAACCTGGAAGATGGGTTGACGGAGGGTGACAATCTCGCCTTCGGAGGCATTCGGCTTATTCGTACACGCCGAGACCATGTTGTCGATGACTACATTATTAAGCCATTGTTAGATCGCCTGTATATGTCAAAGTCCTGCACAGAAGGTAAACTCACAATTCGCGAGAATATAAGTCCCATTCCTACCCCGTAAACACGATTCACATTGATCGGCATACTGCTTGAACCCGGCGTCGTCGCAATACGTATAAATCGGGGTGAAATTGCTGCCGCTGTACCAGTTGGTTTTGTAGACGTTTTGCAGGGGGATACATTCATTCTGGCAGCCTGATATAGAGCCATTGCGGTCGAAAAGGCAGGTCTGGACGGTGTATTTCTGAGTAGCTATTGTCCATGTCAACCATAGGTTAGATGAGGTTGAGAGGCACTTCAAAAAGCGCGGACAGGGTGACCATGTGCGCCCACGTACCTAGAAAGGTGTAGATGTCATTCCTCTCATCGTTTATATATGCCGTCCCGGTACTTTGACATAGCAGACAATCTTTCACGGTCCTCCCTTTCTCGGTGTTGTTATAGGCTGAATCGGGACAGACGAGGTCATCGGCGGTCGTTTTCGGGGTGGTTCCGCAGTTTTTGATGCATTTCGACTTGGGAATCGTGGCTAGAGAATATACGGGCGTGAAAAGGTATGCGACGGCTAGAAGTCCGAGGAGGATCCTCGCCGTCTGTGATGAGAGCCAGGTCATTATGTATGCATAGGATAAGGCCCGGGGGGGTGGTTGTTGACGTGAAAAATCGGCCACGGCGGGCTGGAAGTGAGATTGGGATTGCGAACTCGTAATATCTGTCGATCATCTTGTGACTTTCATTGGGCTGGAGTGGGTTATTTTATTTAGTTCATAGTGAGAAACTAGAATAACAGTTGGCTCCACGACCAGCGGCCCTGCGACGAGTCAGGGTTTCAGGGTTGAGACGCAGATTCTCCACTTCCACGGCTGAGGCGCAGCATAAAGTGTCTATTCACGACGGGCCCAATCAGGATACGGTATTTCTCAAACCTTTTCTTGGCGTTGGGGGCTCTTCTGGTGTCATTGGTTGGGTAGAATACGACGTTGATCCATTCTCGAATGAGCAGAATTATCCCGATGTTATTGCGGAACAGCACAGCCTTATCCAATCCTCTGTTATGATGTTGGTATTCCTTCTCACTCTCTGGTTCAGAGCCTCCTTGCGATTTATTTATAAATGGCTTATGCTGTAGCTGAAACATGGTTCTGGGTGTAGTACAATGCTTAATTATCTCGTTTTCCGCGGGAGTCTGTAGATCCGTCGTCATCCGAGTAGGGAGCTTGTGTGTCATCCTACGAGGCCAACAGGGGAATTCCTGTCCTGAACATGCAATGGAAGTTACTAATGGCATGAGGAATTTGGGCTTCCGCGTGGAGTATGAGTGGCATCATCCGTGCGCCGCGTTTCTCCACTTAACCAACAAAGGTTCGCCAATCATACTATCTCACCCCGAGACCCCTTGCTTTTATTTTATATCCCTGGCTGCCTTTATAGGTGCCAGGAATCATACCTAGCCATTGAATATGGCACATGTACGCAGGGTTATCTGGGTACGAACCTGAGTTTTTGACTGTGGCAGTCGAGAGAGGAGATGTATGCACATAACTGAAAGGAATGTACATCAGGATTGATCTGGGTGCTTTGTATACAATAATAATATCTATTCGATGTATGTATATAATATTTTTACTCCTGTTCAAGGTAAGTTCAACCCGTTCTGAGTATAACAGCTATATTACTCCCTCCGCCGTTTGCTGGTATAGACATTCCCCACCACATACCTCACCCCAAGGCATCTATCCTGACGCCAGAAGTTAGTAGACGACCTTATACAGACAGCAGAAACTAACTCTATTCAGTGGGACTAAAGCCTTGTCCCTAGTTATGACGAGCATATGACTACACAACAGATGACCGTCGTGGCGACAGTGACAGTGGGTCTTTTTTCTCTGCACGCCTGATAAACCTTATAATAGCTTATATGACGACAATGTAGTCAATCAGGTAATCTTGACTCGGTGCTACTTCCACGAACTATGAACCTATTGGACACTTTCTGCTTTGAGTTGAGGTCCCTAGTCGAGGGCTATTCATGAACTGCACTTATCCGGGAGCCAAGTGTTATAGCATAGACAAATATAGCACTTGTATTGCTAATCATCTGTGCTTTGAGATATCCACCCAGATTTGTTGCCGAGTGTATGTACGTCCTTAATGCTCTTTTCGTTCACCATGAAACACCTTGTCATGACAGAAGAAAGTTTCAATCTCACTTTACTCACGTCTATAGGATGCACTCATGCACCGAAGCGCAATTATGTAGTCGATAATCATTAAACGGTACAATCCATATACCACGCCCATACATTCATCAAGGCAGCTCCACTGCATTATCGCCTCTCCTAGCCCCTCCATTTCCACCACCATCCAACTCAGCCTTCGCCGGTTCCACAGCGGCCAATTCCCCAGGGGGCTTGACAACCTGTTCGACAACAGGTGTGCCAGCACCGTACGAAACCTCCGACACAGGCCCCTGCTCCAACGGCGGTTCATACTGATGGGCCCCTCCCTGTGCATCCCTTCGTCTCCTCGCAAGCAGCAACCAAGCCGCCGCACCCAAAATCATCAACCCACCCACGCCCGCACCAACTCCAATACCGGCCTTAGCCCCCGTCGACAACCCCGAGGAACTGGTGTCGCTATTACCCCCATTACTCCCTGTCGCCGACGCCGATGCCGACGCACTACTCGTCGCACTGGTATTAGACGTAGCAGTCGACATATCGAAGAGTGGCCGGCGAAGCGTAACGATCTCCCCCGCGGAGGCATTTGGTTTCAGCTCACACGCCGAATCCATGGTATCCATGAAATTGCCCAGAATCACGGACCCGGATTTAGACCGTAGACAGGTGGCGCAGCCACTGGCGTATTGCGTGAACACATCGTCACAATATTCGTAGAGCGTCTCTGTGTAATTGGGTTTGTACCAGAGGTCTGTGAACTTGGAGCGCAGCGGGAGACACTCGTCTTCACAGCCGGAGATGGAGGTTTCGGAAGTGCGGTCGTAGAGGCAGGTTTGGAGAGTGTATTTTTGGATGACTATAGTGTGTGGTTAGCTTTAGGTCTTGGGATGTAGATGGGGTGTGGTATGTGGGGTTTGATATATGGGAAGAAGGGAAGAGAGATTTAGTCAAAAGGTACATACAGAGGAAAGTCCAGATATCGCTCGAATGATTGTTTACATATGTCGTGCCGGTGCTTTCGCAGAGCAAGCAGCTTTTCATTGTGAGGCCATTTGCAGACGTGTTAAATAAGGAATCCTGGCAGACAAGGTCGCCTGTGAGAGTGTTTTTCCTATCGCCGCATACTGCGCGACATTTTGAGGAGTCTAACACTTCCAGCGATAGTGCTGGTATGCAGAGAGAGATGGCTGCAACGAGACCAACGAGGGTCCGCAGGGGCAGATAAGCCATCATGTGGAAAGATATGGCTGAAGTTTTTGGCCGGGTCAAGACATACGGACGGACGGTCTTACAGCGGACGCCGATCAAGTTATAAAATTATCCACTCAGGCAGAATCCTGCACGGGGCAGCCTTCGCCTCTTAAAAGGGTTGGCTTGTATCGAGATCATCCCGGGGCTAACTGCTTCCTCTTCATGGACTGAAATTGGGTGCTATGGGGGCCAAGGCTGGAGGATAAGCTAGTGCCGTGGATGATCGAACGCACCAATTGGAGCCTCGTAAAAGAGCTCGAATTTTCCGCAGCCCTCCTTGGCGTTGGCAGGGTAAGGCTGTTGTGGTATATTTGGCGCCCTTATACGAGACCTGACTGGTTTAGCTTAACACTTTGACAATCGGTTTTATTAATTGCCTTTTGCTGGCAGCCCTGTCAGATTCTCGGCAGTTGTTTGCCCATGCCCGACGACCGTGAGCCCCCTTGCGTTTTATGGATCTCTGCTATATGATTAGGGCAGCACACAATGGCCCAAACTCTCAGGGGCTGCGCATGTCTCTCAAAATATGCTCGTCAGAGCTCGCATCAAGCGACCCACAATAAAGCCCTGATCTCTCAATCGTGGGAGATTGTTGCCGTCCCACCTATCTACTACCTACTTAAGAACCTCGGGAGCCCAGTCCGTGAATCTGGATCAGTCTACGAGACAACAATCACATCTTCATGCCTGGAAAACGGCCATGTGTAGTCCTCTGTATTAAGAGATGACTCAGGCAAGTAGAATTGATATTCCTGCGACATGTAACTTGTGCACAGACACCTACTCTTTACTCACAATACTCGTGGCCGGTACAAACGTGGTCAGTATGCGGAGTCCGATGGGGAATATACATACTATGTGCTCTGACACCCAACCCTCCGAGAATGGGTTCATTGCCACCAAGGCCATGGATTTTGAACAGAGAGGATAATCAGTGAACTGTTTTAATAAAAGTACATACTTATATCTAATTTTAACATAACTGAGCAGCGATCACCATTATAGCGGCGACTATGAAATAGACCGTACAGACATTTAAGCCCTGGATCGGTATGTTATGGACAGGGCAAAGTCACGAGGTCACTGCCTGTAAAGCTTTGCAGAGTCGCACCAACCTTCATTGCTCACTATCACATATATTCAGTATGACCTAAATATGCCTTCAAGGCCATGGTCGTGAACATTTGTGATGCCCTCGAACATTCCATACGAAACTCATCTCAAGGCATCATATCCGTATGCTTTGACTGGAACTTGGCTTTCAATCCTTCCAAAGCGACGTGTGCTAACCCATCGATGTTCCCTGCATTCATAAACTCCATCACGCTGATCTCCAGCCCCAGCGTCTGACACCACCAATTACGAATTTCAATAACTACCAGAGAGTCAATTCCCATATCCGCTAGGGACTTGGCTGTATCTATCTCTTCATCGGGCTTGAAGAGGAAGGAAACAATCTTAGTCCCCAATTCATCTCGCAGGAGAGCGTAACTGTCAGCGTGGTCTAGGATACTCGGCTCTCGAGAGGCATCCCCCAAAAACGTTTTCAGTCCGTTGTCAACGTCGCCGCGTGCTCGTGGAGCCTCCTGCGCATTGTGAAAGAGCCTCATCCGTTTGTCGCGCTGGAAGAAGCCCGGTAGACGAGCTAATGGGGTCGCGGAACTAGGTCCCAGACCGATTATCACATCGTTTTGGCCGCTACACGCTAATTTCACGGCTTCTATCACCTCCCGCTCTTGAATGGTTTGACTGGCCCAAACAGCGAGTCCGCGCTGTGCCATCCGGCCGCTTTCTGAGACATAGCCAATATCAGTGACGACCCCTAGGTCGATGACTGATGCTGGAAGGCCAAGTGATCGCCGGTACTTCGCAAACGAATCCAGAAACGTGTTGGCAGCGGCATAGTTCGCCTGGCCTGGCTGGCCGATAATCCCGGAGATGGAGCTAAAAGAAACGAAAAAGTCCAAGGGCTCGCCCTCCGTGGCCTGATGAAGATTCCAGCTTCCTTGAACTTTGGGCAAAAGAACATTGGCCCACTCGACATGGTTCATACCGAGGAACGCCCGATCCTTGGAAGAATGTCAGTATGAGATGGTCAGTTTCGTTTGGTGCAGGGATTCTTGTACCTCCAAAACCATTGACATCTGGAATATACCGGCGATGGGAGCCCTGCATTGCTGGACAGCGCTCTGGACATCCCGAAGGTCGGACACATCGCCTTGTATCACAGTGACCTCACATCCTTGCAGCCGTAACTCTCGGAATAAGGCTTCGCGGACCGAGGAAGTTGAGCTAGCCGAACGGGAAAGATACACCAGCTTGCGGGCCCCCTGTTCCACCATCCACTGCGAGATGGCACGACCTATTCCCCCTAAACCTCCCACCAGCAGATATGTATGGGTGGACGAGAACGAGATTTCGGCAGGTATCTTGCGAGTTGGACAGGGTTTGTCGGACATACTTACAACTATTTTACCCATGTGTTGGCCGCCCTGCATGTAGCGGAACGCCTGCTTGACCTCGGTTGCGTCTAACGCGCGAATGGGGCGAATTGGCTGAATGCTCCCCTGTCGGACCAAATCGATACACTGTTCGAGAAGTCTATTCGGGTCAGCAATCGTCGATCCAGTTGCTCTGTAGGCAGAATCTGCAGCTCACCTTTGGCATTCTTGAGGCTGATACTCGAGAATTTCCGCCAAGTCAACGCTGATCAAGGAGCGATTTTGGACCATGGGAGCTAGGCTCAAGCTACCATGACCAACAATGTCACGTTTTCCGATTTCAACCATTTTGCCAAATCGCGCAACGCATTTCCACGAAGCGTGTAAGAGTTCGCCGGAAAGTGAGTTCAGCACCAGATCAACACCCCGGCCGTCAGTTTCCCGCATCACGTCTTCGTAAAATGAGGGTTCCCGCGAATTGAAAATATGATTGCGCGGAATACTGAACCGGTCTTGAAGATACTTGATCTTGGTTTCACTACCTACAGTCGTGTAAATTTCAGCCCCGATCATTCGGCTGATCATAATAGCGGCAAGCCCTACGCCGCCACAAGCTGAATGTATCAGAACAGTCTACGCCGCCAGTTGTCAATACCAGTACAAACTCTAAGCTCGAGGAAGAATGAAGATTATATCCACTCACCTGTCCCTTTCTGAGATTCCCAATGGTCGTTAGAGAGTGGATGGCAGTGGTATACACACACGGCATGGTGGCTGCATCCTCGAAGCCGAGTTCGTCCGGAATGGCGGCACAGAGAAGTGACGAGGTCACTATCCTGGACGCGAATGAGCCGGGGCTCATGAACATAACTCGTTGTCCTGGAATAAGAGACGAGTGTGGACCGACTCTATTCACGACGCCGGAGCCTTCTAAGCCCAGCCCGTCCTTTCGTGCATCCAGTATTCCCTGAGCGCATAGCAGATCCTGCAATATATCAGCAATAAGCCATCATCTAGAGACAAATCTTCCCAGACTGACTTACCTTGAAGTTTAAGCCCACATGGTGAACAATGATTTCTATCTGGTCGCCTTGCAAGTGGACAGGTCTGTCAAGCGGCACCCAAGCAAGACTATCCAAGTGACCAAATGACTCAATGCGAAGCCCGACAGCATCTGAAAATTCACTACCAGATCGTAGAGTGAGGATTTCTTCTGGTGTGCACCGTTTGTAGCGGGGAGTAAGAATTTTACCGTCCTGATGCACGAATTCAAAATCGGTGTTTGTACTATCAGTCCTGTCTCTGGCCTGGAACTTGCGATAGATCAATTCCAATGCCGTCCAAGATGCTTGATCGAAGTGTTCGAGTTCAACGGTACCCATTTCAACCGCAAGCTCGGAACGAATAGTGCGAGCTAAGCCTAGGACGAGAGCAAATCGAGGATCGGCGCACTTGAGCTGCGCTGACCTTGTCACCCATAAGATTCCGGTTGATTTGGAGCCGGAAACAAGCTTTTGGAAAGCGATGAGGTCCGGCTCAGATACTTTATCAAAAAATGGGCCTTCAATGTCCAGAAGAGAAACGACATCTCCTTTGTGATGTGACAAGCTTTGCAAAGAGCATAGATGAACTGTATGACCATGTGTAGTGAAATGTCGCTCCACAGCTCGAACATGTTCGTTAGCAATTGAAGAACACAGCAGAGTCACAACACTTGGCTGGGAGCTGTCGTCACGCACCGTTGCAACTATCGTTGCATTGGTAGCATACGGCGGTTCGTTGTCATATACTAACTTATCCATTCCCGTAAATCCGCTCTTCTGGAGCTCCATATTCCACCTTTTAGGAGAAACAAACGGCTCTTCTTCGCGGGAGTCCTTGCCACCAATCCACCATCCTGGGAGGACACCCTGTCACCAACGCATCACACATCATCAGTCGACAGGAAACAGAACCAGTTGAGTGAGGCCTACCATGACAAAATTAATAAATCTGACGGTGGGACACAGCTCCTGCAGCACAAGCCGGCCACCTGGGGCGAGTAGCTTCCGAACGTGGCGTAAAGCCTTGCCAAGTTCCGGTGTGGCGTGAAGTACCTGAGGTCTCGTTAGCTCTCTTTCGCTCTAACTATAGGGTGCTGAGAAATCTCACATTCGCTGCGACGACTAGGTCAAACTCCTGCGCTTCAAATCCCTGGTCCAGGGGATCCTGGCTGATGTCCAATATCGCGAAGTCTATCCCATGAAACCGGCGGAAACGTTCTCGAGCAGCAGGGAAAAAGCCCGCCGATATATCGCTATAGCAGTATCGCGAGTATAAACGAGGTCCATCGCTCATGGTGAGACCATTCAAGGCAAGCGCCGTGGTACCTCCGGTGCCTGCACCAATCTCCAGCACTCGAAGGGAAGGATTTTCGTGCCCAAGCGTGGAGAACAGACAAGATAAATCCAAGTTGGCTATCACGTCGTAGAAATTCTTTAGACCATCCTCTTGGTACAGCAAATCTATTCCAGAAACCGAGCCGTGGCAAAGCTCCCTAATATTTTGATAGACACGAAGGACGAGCGCGTCTACAGGGGCGCACCTTGACCTGTCTGGGTCGTCTATCAGTTCCTGTATCAAGACTTTTCTGTTCTTTGAATCAAGCATAGCCCATCTTTGGGACTTGAAAACCAGATTGTAAGACCCATTCTTCATTGAATGGACCTGCTTTCGAAGCCACGCAACATACTGTTGCAGGTAGGGTGACTGGGGTTTCAATGATTGAGAGTCCACCTCGTGCAACGTCTCAAGCATGCAAAGAACCACTAGCTCTTCACAGGATGAAATGAGAGATGTCCCATGTGTGGTACTGTATATGAGGTCAGACCCAGGAATGTCCTCTAGGCGAGTAGCCCACTCTAGGCGAGAAATATTCAGCGTTCCGATTTCGTCCATGTCGCTGGTTTCACCTGTTAGGGGCGCTAACACACAGCCACTGAAAGCGAATACTACACTGCCATGGATGACTCCCATGACGCTGCCCTTCAGTTTCTTATTCTCGAGTTCTTCGGCAAAGGCTTGAAGATGAACTGTAGACGCTAGTTCGTCAACGTAGACGTGTTCTATACTGACCGGCACCACCAACCGATTCAATTTGCGGCGGAGTCCTCGACATGCTGCAACAGATAATAGCTGAAGAGCACAATCGGCAGTTGTTGGATGCAGCGAGTAGTGCGTTTGGTGCAGCTCCTCTGAGTAAGGCACATTTGCCGACGCAGTGTTGACCAACGGGTCGGCCTTGATATCAGCCAGGCGTTCAAAAGTCGGTCCGTAGTCCAGCCCAAGGTTGTTCAGACCTTGGTACCAATTATGCGATGACACCTCGCGCGTATGAGAGTTGATCACAGGTACGAGGCTTTGGTCCCTTCCGGATTTCACTTGACCTGTGCAGTGCTTAATCCAGGAATTACCGTTGAACGCCGAGATACAAAAGCTGTACCACGCTGAGTCTTGGTACTCTGTCAACGGTATCACGTTCAATGAAGTTATGATCTCCGTAGTTGTGTCTTGCTTCAGAATAATTGGTGTCCTAACCAGTAATCGCCGAATGGTGTAGTCGCTTTCTCCTGTCAATTGACGAATTGCCTCTCCTACCGCCGCAATATAAGCTGTGCTAGGGAAAATTGTGTCTTCAAACACCTTATGGTCTCGCAACCAATTCATGTCACCTAGAGAGAGAACATTACGCCAGGTGAAACCCAGTTCGCCAGTCTCCGAAATTCGCGAACCCAGAATCTCATGTCGTGGAAACGCAAGATATCGCCAAGCTTTGGAGAGACGGCTCTCGCGCCAGTGCTGATCCGAGTCATGCTGCCAGCAATACAACGGGAGATTGGTGAGAACCTTCCCAGGACCGTTAACTGATAAAAAGTCGACGCTGACACCCTGAAGATATAGTTCTCCGGCAGTTTCGTAAATCTTAGTCAAAGAATTCGAGCCGCGAGATAATGTAGACAGATAGACTGCAGAGTTGTTTCCTTGGGAGCTAAAGATTTGCTTCAAAGGAGCAGAGAGGACTGCATGTGGTCCGATTTCTAACATGACGGTATGTTCGCTCTTCGGAATCTGAGTTAAAAGGCACCGGACCGCAGGGCTAAAAAGTACAGGCAGTTCCATGTTTTGGCGCCAATACCTAGCGCCCAGTCCACTTTCAAGCGTGTTTCCTGTCACACTGGAGTAGAATAGAATTGCCGGGTTCTGTTCCTCCACAAAGTTCAAGAGCTGCTCGTAAGCCTCGCCAACCTCTTTCATGTGATCTAGTTACTGTTAGCACTTATTCACCTGAAGTTTGGGATGTCATAGGAGTCTGACGAGAATGATATGCCACCTTGACTCGCAGCTGTCGGCAAAAGACCCCGGGGAAGGCTTCTGATATACGTGATAGCACTTTGGCCACCACAGGTTTATCACCAGAGATTGTGACACTTTGTGGACTGTTTTCGCATGCAATCATGACCCCATCTTCCAAATAGTCGGTGACTATATCACGACTAAGTCCGACCGCGCCCATGCCTCCTTGAGTCTTCAGTGATTCGGATACTTGCCCACGGAAATAGGCAATCTTGATAGCTTGCTCCGCGGTTATAGCTCCGGCCGTGTATGCGGCTGCAATCTCGCCACTTGAATGACCGACCACTGCACTCGGATGGATATTCCAACCACGCAACACCTCAACCAAGCCAATTTGTAGCGCAGTGCACAATGGCTGGGAAAGTTCCGGACTTTCCATTTCGGCTGCGGTGAGGTCTGTCATCATCATTCCTGCTCATGTTGTTGGTCAATTATCTGACTTTGGTTTACCTCTATATATGCCACTTACCAGCAAGAGACCATGCTACACAGTCGTCAAGCTCCTCTAATATGCGTGACATCGTGAATATGGTCTCGCGAAATGGTTTTAAAGCCATCAATTCTCGGCCCATACCAGGCCATTGTGCTCCTTGGCCAGTAAACACAAAGGCTAGATTCGTTTTCAAACATGTCAACCGGGATGTTTGTGACATCTGCTGATGATCATTGGGTCCGCTTATGTTGTAGGCTCGATATTTGAGAACTTCTCGACAAACACCCAGAGTATGACCTACGTCCTTTATCAGATCAGGATTCCTGGCCATATATTGAGTATTCGCATCGATAGATCGTTGCAAAGATTCTTTGCTATTAGCCGAGAACGGAATTACTCGATACTGGCCCTCACACCGGGTTGATTCCTGGATGGGAGCCGCGGCTGCGGCCTCGATAATCGCCTGTTCCATATTTCAAGTAAGCGATAGTCGCTCTTCTCACACTGGTCTACGCCTACATGAGCATTTGATCCACCAATGCCGAAGCTATTGACACTGGCACGTAGCCTTTTTCCTTGTGGCCATGGGATAGGTTCGGTTGGGACGTGCAGGTGCGCTTCGTCGAAAGGGACTAATTTGTCAATATATGTACCCAACATTCTTTTCCAAAAAGCACTTACTCTTCGGGTTGGGAATTGTGAAGTGGGGATTCGGTGGTATGATCCCCTTTTCCAAAGCCAGGACGACTTTAATCACACTGGTCAAACCAGAAGCTCCTTCCGAGTGGCCAACATTGGCTTTAACCTTTAAAGAGGGTCAGTTCAACCATGATACAGTCCGATAACTTAAAACGAGAAACTCTTACAGAGCCCAGAGTGGTGCCCTTTCCATCAAAGGCCTTGCTTATTGCTATAGTCTCGACTGTATCCCCTGCAATGGTTCCTGTGCCGTGACACTCAAAGAACCCAGTGTCTGAGATATCTTTGATATTTGCTGACTGGTATGCTTTACGAATCAACTCTTCCTGAGCCGTAGCATTGGGGTAGGTGATGTTAGGAGTTCGTCCATCTGAGTTGATAACCGTGGCACGAATAACTCCACGAATAGGGTCCCCGTCTCTAATTGCGTCGTCCAACATTTTGACGTAGATCGCATTGATGGCCTCGCCTCGCCCGTAGCCATCGGCTGCAACATCAAACGTCTTACATTTTCCATCGCGGGATAGCACGCCAACCTCACACATTCCGACAGTAGTAGTTGGGGCCATGATAAGATTCGTCCCTGCCACAATAGCCCCTACACATTCACCTTGGCGCAAGGCCCGACAGGCCTCGTGGAGGCCTGTAAGAGAAGAGGAGCAGGCAGTTCGTATGGTCATACTGGGCCCCTTGAGATCATACTCGTACGAAATGCGATTCGAAATTGCATAGTCTCCCGTACCAATGACATGGTAGCTGCCGACATCCTGGGGGTCCTTTCTTGAGATTTCCAACCAGTCTTCTCCAAACACACCTACATAACATCCGATATTCTGGCCGCGCCAACCCTTTTGACCGGCGTTCTCAAAACATTCCCACACCACTTCGCAGAGCATTCGCTGCTGTGGGTCCATTTGTGACACTTCACTTTTCGTGAGAGAGAAGAATGCTGCATCAAAGGCTGCCAAATCATCTTCGAGAAAATACCCATTTCTCGTATAGACCGTGCCCTTCTTAGGAGTTGCACTGTAGTACTTGTCTACATCGTAACGGCTCGGGGGAACTGGGCCATGGCCGTCTTTCTTCTGAATGAGCATTTCCCAGAATTGCTCCGATGTTTTGATTCCTCCAGGTAGTCTCATCGACATCCCCACAATAGCGATGGGTTGTGTGGAATGGGAAGCTTCATCTTCTCTGCAGGAACCCATCTTGGTTTCTCGAACCCAATGATGTTTGTAATACAGAGCAACGTTCTAAGGAATCACAACGAGGCTTTGGTGAGACTCCAGGGCAGGATAATGAGAGTGTTAACTGGTTCAAAGCCACAACCTGCAGACGTAAATTGTCAGGTTTGCAAGAGGTAGTTATCGGCTCTAAGGTTTACAACACTAAGCATTCCCGACTCAAATTCCAGGGATATTGATTTTCTCAAGCATAGCCAACAGGCTTACTGTGTCCTAATCAAAGGCAGACTAGGGCGTTTAACGGAGCCATTAAGTAATAGGTCACAGACGCGACTCTTAAGGTTTAGATCTACTCCGGAGCAATGCCCCCTTGCAGATTTCCACAACATGCATTGTTGGCAAACATACTCTGTACGGAGTCATTGTCCCAGTCCAAGGGGTAGTGGCGCGTGTAGCAGAGTTATTCAGTGGTAAGTTTCCAATAGTGCAATTTGAAATCGTTGACAATTCAGATTGAGGACTCCAGATCCTGGCAGACCGTTCTGTGAACGCAGTGCTCATAATATACGTTCTGGGTACGGTGTGTTGTGAGGGACCCATCAGCGGCAAGTTGCAATGGTGTCAGAAAACAGGATGAGTGAGGCCATTGAGGATGGATTCAGTCTCACTAAAAAGCAAGCATTTTCTTTCGCGGCGATGATGTGTCTCAGCCTGATGGCTGCACTTGACGGGTCCTCTATATCTGTCACGTTACCAGTGAGCAAGCACGTTGCTCTACGGAATAACTCGCGGTGCTTATGCAATAGATAGGCTATCGCGAATGAGCTTGATGCTTCGGCCATCGAGACCTTCTGGACGGGGACTTCATATCTGTTATGTTGTGCAGGTAAGTGTCAAATCTTGACTCGATATTGGCCTAGGAAGATTGACACGAAAAGTTTTTCAACCAATATTTGGGTCTCTATCCGAAACTTTTGGCCGCAGAATCTTCATTTTCCTGGCCATTATCTTCTTCTCCGTTGGTGCTCTTGTGGCGGGGACGGCGCACCATATATTCCGCCTTCTCCTTGGTCGTTCCTTGCAAGGGGTTGGAGGAGGTGGTCTCATTACGTTAACGGGTGTGATGATTGCAGACTTTGTACCTCTGAAAGAGCGTGGAAAGTATTTCGGCATTCTTAGTGCCATGTGGGCTCTAGGTTCTGTTATTGGTCCTGTCATCGGTGGATGCTTCGCAGAAAGATCAACCTGGGTAATTAGAAGATGACAATTCGCAACCATCAGCTGGCTAACACTATCTTCAGCGTTGGATCTTCTATATCAACTTCCCTTTCATTGGTATCGGGGCTGCCCTCCTTGTGTTTAGTTTCCCGCCTTCGCACGTCAACGACAAGTTCTGGGCTCTGCTCAGGAGAGTTGACTACCTAGGCATGTTTCTGTTCGTCACGAGCATCAGCTCCTTTTTAATCCCCCTTTCTTGGGGTGGGATCATGTACCCCTGGAGCTCATGGCACACCTTGATCCCATTGATTATCGGGCTCTAGGTCTCGCCATCTTTGCAGTATACGAGGTTCGATGTGCCTCGAATCCGCTAATTCCCCCGGCTCTTTTCCGAGATCGGTCCACGACTATCTCCTTGACTGGTTTCTGGGCCCTTGGTCTCTTGCTCTGGTGTGGACTATACTATCTCCCACTCTATTACCAGGTGGTCCAAGGATACAGCCCGATTATCACTGGCGTGGCCCTGTTCCCTGCTACATTAACAGTCGCTCCCGTGGCCGCCGTCACTGGAATTTGCATCACTGCCACTGGTCGATATCGATGGGCTATATGGGGTGGCTGGGCACTATCATCCCTGGGTTTCGGACTACTCTGTCTCCTTGGTGTCAATACAAGTATCCCTGCTTGGGTCTTCCTGGACCTAGTGTCCGGAATAGGACTCGGAATAGGGGTGCCCGCTATGGCGTTTGCAGTTCAGGCCTCGGCAGCACCACATCTCGTACCGCTAGCCATTACCCTTTCCACTTTTTTCCGCAGCTTTGGACAGTCAGTGGGGGTTGCTATCGGTGGTGCAATCTTCGAGAATCGTTTAAAAGTGGCGTTTTTGTCTTCTCCACATCTCAAAGAGCTCGCCAGTCAATATAATCGCGATGTCTTTGGTGTGATTGCATTTCTGCGTAATACGGACGAAATGACCGCACATGAGATTCGATCAGCTTATGTGGACAGCTTGCGCATTGTGTGGGCTTTTGGCTGTGCAATATCGGGCATTTCTTTAGTTACAAGTCTGTGGATCAGGCACCATCAGATTGAATAGACCGCATGGTGCTCCGCTCTAGGGCCCCAAGCCGAATTGCATACTCTCCCACTTTGGCAAATACTTTAAAACAACCCCCTACCTCCTTTTCGAAGCCAAGCCCACCGTATTCTATAAACGCGGGGAATGAATTGACGAAGTCTAGCAGGCACAACCTAACAAGGCAAGCAAACCGCAGAGCAAATGTGTTAGAAATATGTAGTTATGGATCTCTATACCCCCAATTAGTGTGCTGTTGCGACTACACTATGAAGATCCTGCGTGAAGTCGGGGAAGAAGTATTGTACTCTAGCAAAGTAGTTGTTGCGCCAATCTACACGTAATATTCGCTCCTTGCTACACCCAGCCTGGACGCTGCATAAGCATCTGCAGGTGACCCCTCTGCCGGCAAATAGTTTCGCGGCGTTTTTGGATTCTCCCGAGGGGCAGGAGGCTGAGACTAAGGTTCCGTTTGAGTTGTTCTATCGGCGTTTTGCAGGGGAGGTGGACTCAACTGTGTTGGTTGGGGTTTATAATGATCTGCTGAGGGAGGCGACGAAGGTGGGTGGGGGTCGTGGGGAACATGCGGCGAGTGCACCATCTGGAGCGGCTTGTCCGCATAATATGATACTTACCAAGAGGTGGATGATTGTGCTGCCCAGAAGACGAGGCGCAGTTAATAAAAAGGCCGGGGTGAATTCGTTAGGCATGGTGGGGGTGATCGCCGTGGCTACGACGAAGGAGATCGATAAATGGGTCAGCCTGGGGTTGACAGAGTCCCTGGCAGAATTGGGAGTACCCAAGAAAATATAACTGCCGACACCTTGCGCATGGCAATGGGGAGCTTGAACCAAAGCTATCGATATCTCAGGAGAATCATAGATAGTACACTCGATTTGAATACTCCCATTCCACTACCGTGCATAAGATGAATACTAAACCCCCACAAACTCAGCGAATTTCAAATATAGTCGTATACGTCCTTTCTGAAGAATATTACAAATAGTATCCAACAACAACAAACTACCAACTAGGTGGGAAGTATAGAAAAAGGAAGGGCGAGACTGCGCAAGATCCTACAGCGAGGGTGACTACAAGAAGCAGAAGCCACTGGTTGATTGTCACTGGTCGGTAGCTATCACAATTACAGCTTACTCGACCTTTCATCTTTGACCAGAAAGCATAGCATATTGGACATTCGGTTTAACATATTCCTCAATCTGTCAGCTTCTCCATTCTAGCTTCTTTCTGCCACAAACTACACGGAACATTACAGTGCGGGCATGCACCTTAAGGCTTCGGAACTGGAGGGGTAAGAGATAAAGAGGGCAACTTTTCTTTTTGTACTGTACATATGCAGGCCCCGGGAAATATGGCTTGTATCTCCCGTAAGCCCTAACATGGATTTAAACCTGCCTTCAACCCTAGCCACTAGTCGGTCTGAATAATACGAGAATGATTGCTTTTTTCTTTTCTTAAGCTTCACGCTATTAATCTATGTACCCCTTTCTCGTGCCTTATTTTCATGTTTATTTTTATTCTAGACTTCAGTCTATATAGAATCACCTCCCATGTGCTATTCTTATTGTAAATATCGATGTCTTTTTATGAAATCTTTCTGATTATCTAGAATAAAAATTGGCCGAGCCACTCTGTGGTCCGTACTCTTTATTAAGTATCCAGATTAAACATCAATATCTGTGCCAACACTTCTTGCAGGTAGATCATAGACCCTAATGGAACTAGTGACATCCGCTACATAGTATATGTCATCCCTGTCATTGTATGCACATAAGCATAGACTATTGAACTCCGAAAGATGGCGGGAGAGCGCGGTACGCCGCCTCTAAGTCCGGCGCGCTCGATGTGCTGGCATAGAGCTCGATCAAGCGCTCGTCCGGCCCGCTGCCCGTGGAACCCTTACCGCGTACTGCATCCAGCAGGCCGGTCTGCATCTGTGTGCTCGCTACGTTGGCGTACGCGGGGTGCGCATTCATTAACAAGATGTTATACAGGAACACGAGGTCGCCCCAAAGTCCCCTCCTCGCGGCGCTTTGCACCAGACTCGCGATCACCTGCAGCTCGCGCGCATTGTCCAGGGAGTGGATGCCCACATCCGTCTGGATGTGCGGGAGTTCAGTCTCCGAGAAGCCGGTGATGTTCAGCCAGACATAGCCGCGCGATTCCACAGAGGAGGTGGCGATGTTGCCGTAAGCCAGCGCTTGGATGCTGTCGTTATATCTGAGCTGCTGGCTGTGGGCGGCTCGGCCGAGCAGCATACCAGCCAGGAGATAAAACGAAGAAGTCCTCATTAGGAGACGGGAAGAGTTCAGGAGAATTGAGCCGGAGACTGAGTGGACAATGACTTGCTATACTTATATTCTTCCTACATGTGCAGCGGGTGAATTTCTCCCGATTTATATAAGGCTCTGGACTGTGAAAAATTCTTGCTCGAGCCTGAACGGGCGCTTGCCTGATGTTCATGACGTGACCGTGGTCTAATTTTGGGGGCAGTCAAAAGTTCTCTCCGCTAGGCAACGATCAATGAGCCTGTATGGATGAAGGTGTTCCTGTGGAGAAGACTAAGTCGATTCAGTATGTATGCCTCGGGATAGCGGGATACAGGGGAGAGGGCTAGTTGCCACGGTGGCCCTTTCTTTCGTACCCTATCACAGTACCATTAAAGATCCAGGATTTGATGCTTTTCGCTTCTGCCTACGTCGGGCACGAATTTGGGTCTTGCAATTGCCTGTTATAACTCTAGCCCTTGCGGCAATGACCCAGGATCAAGGGACTTGATGTCATTGTAAGCAATTAGTTTTCCATTAGCTGAAATAGCTTGGCATTAGCTTGATTTTTGACCTTGGTTAGTCTCATCCAGAGTCGTGTAAGAGAGTCGATGGACAAATATATGAAGAGAAGATAATGCCTACCGTCCTGTCATCCAAAGCGAATCACCTCGACTTCTTGCTTATTCTCACTGCCTGAGCATACGATGGCATACCCTTCACGTCCACACTTTTTGTTGACCCTCTTTCGTGAACTCTTCAATACCTTCATCCATTCCACAGGAGATGACCCATTACTTGCGCGAACTCATCGATCTTATCAAAATCAACCTGCTCAAACGAATAATGTTTTACTATTAGTGCCGATTACTCTAGGGCTTATCCTTAACCTCCTCGTGAGCAACTAATAAAGAATCCCTGTTCTCCGCAGAGGCTAATAGGGCCCAGATCCGATATTGTATTGGCCATGTCCTAATGTCCCTCTTAATCCTTGAAACCGTAGAGAAGCACGCTGATGCTTCTGACCTGGGGGACAAGAAGCCAGCTCCCTCCAGTCGCCAACTGCTCCGAACCAGCGCCACCCTCTACCGCAAAGGGGGTATCCGTCTTCTCCTGAATGGCATCTGTTCTGCCTGTACCTACTGGGCGATGCACATCTCGGTGGCAAAACTATCCACTACTCTGCTTCCCAGTCCGGCCGCGCATATCCTTGCATCACTCCTGCTCGCTGAGACCCATTTCCTCTGGACCGCGCGCACCATCCTTCCGCATGACCAGCTGCGCTTGGTGTCCAAGCCCGGCGACCGCCGACGATGGAAGGCGCTGGTGCTTCCCACTTTGGTCTATGCCGCGGCCGAAACCGTGATGATGCATGTGCCGGCTCTGTTCGACAGCAGCATCACCCCACCGCCGGATGAGGAAGTCACAATAGCGGGATTGCTGTACATTGTGAGATCCGACATTCTGGTAGCGGGGCTCATGCTCTCTGCCCAGCTGTTTCTCCTCCTTCCCTCTTATATGGTGTTGATCCTGGTCCAGATCAGTCTTCTGCCGCCCACCTGCGAGACGCTGATCTTTAGACAGCAGCGGCGGGGCAGATGGGTGGGAGAGATCTTTTCGGTAGTCAACCGAGGACCGTTACAAGCACAAGAGGCGGCGCAGATGGTTCGGATGGGGCGGTTGCTCAGCTGTCTGGAACTGCATGGGAAGATGTGTCTATGCTTGGTTGGAGTTGCCGCTGTGGTGCATTCAGTGGTCTACTGTATGTTGTAGAAAGGACTACCAGCGTGTCTCGACTACACTTTCTAACCTGGTTGCTTGATGCTGCATGTCCTTGTAGATGAATCAGGTCGTACTCTTAGATGAGGAGCCGGGGGGGAATGACAAGGGGATGATGAGCCAGTATGGTAGCCGGTTTCCTTCGAGATAGCTATTTCTGTTATGAGTGTGGCTATAGTGCTCGGCATGGAATACCTAATGATCTTCCACTATTTAAGCTTAGATAATATTCCTCCTTTATAAAGCCTTTACCAGAGTGTCTGCTGAATCATGATTTTTGGACGGTGCACCTCTCTTCGCATACTACCAACAAGCGCACTGTTGCATTAGGGTTCGTCCGATCGTACGCCCATCTCATTAGGCATCGCTTCGATTTTGCGCTTGCACACGTTCATGACCTTATCCCCGAGACCGTCACCTGGAATGCCTGGTGCCAATTTATCCAGCACTTCCGACATTGCGAGGACAACCAGGTGGCTAAACGCTACCTCTTCCAACCGCCAAGTGCAAAGACAGTCTGGTTTTATGGCGTACCTTACTGGTCTATCCAGAGGGATGTGCAACGGATAGCTGCTCCTCTGATAATTGGGTTTGCCAGCATATCTCTGGTGCTGTCTTCGATGCAGGTCATCTTTTTCTGCACCCACTGACAAGATTGGACTCGGGAGTGAGTCTAGGGCTCGAATCATGGCCCCCATGTTCTGGAATTTCTCTATAAATGTATTAGTTCTTTCAAGCTTGTCTGGTCTTTACTGTTAGTGATTCCAATTGCCGTGCTGACTTGGCAGGTCTCCTGGGGGTTCAAGAATAGGAAGCAAGTCGCTGGTTTTTACCAAGGAAGTCTAGCTGGATGACCAAGTCACCTTATGTCGCTGTATGACACTTGCCACACAGAACATCAATCTCTTTTTGTAGTGATTCTTTCAGAATGAAGGTTGTCAATACAACGATTGTTTTGGTTGCATGCCCGCTCAGCCCTCGTTTGTCTTCAGGTTTGAAGTCTCATTATAGAGAGAGAGAGAGAGAGAGAAATGCATTATACCCGAATACAGCCCCCATTCAGGGGCTCTTCTCGGGTCGTTAATGGCCGTTTAGTAATAGACTGTAGCACTTTAAAGCGTACTCTTAGGACTTCTATATCATAAATAATAATTAAATATCGCCTTTCGCTTTTTAAATAGAGGTTTCATTTAGTAAACTAGTTCCTGAGCTATCGGGCATCAGTAGACACTTTATATTCTACAATACCCAGAGTCTAAATTTAAAACGCTCGTTATCTTAAAAGCCAGATAACTACTACCGAATAAATAAAAGTAGAATCTAAATAGAAAGTAGAAATCGTTGTCTGCGCCTCTGCATTTACACGATAATATAAAAAAACCTGGTTTATATAAAGAGAATCTATATCGAGGCATTAGATATATATAAGTAAGTATGCGTATAGATATTAATAATACGCCAAAAGGCTGCTGGAGATTAATAATAAGATCCGGAGATAGCAAATCGTCGCGGCCAATTTTCGCTATAAATCTTGTTAATCTAATATAAAGTCCAGCAGTTGCTATCATCTACTATATATTTATATCGATTATCGCCAGTATTAGATCTCCACAATCATTCACTAATAGAAGATCTAGCTACTTCCAGTCTCTCCCTTACCATCCTCGGAAGGAGCTCAAGCAATTTCTCCACATCCACATCCCTACCGCTTCTGAGATTGAAAATAGTCTTATCTAACTTCGCACGAAGACCTGGATCCACCACCTCTATCTTCGCTGCCTGAAGTAGAGAAATCTTTTTCTCTATCTCCGGCGCTAATATCTCACCAATCGGTTTCACTGCCGGTAGTATCTCCAGATCCTATCTCTTTACCAGTCCCTTACCCTTATAATTAATCGGTAAAACCATAGTTACAGGGATAATAAGCGCAAGAAAATAGATAAAACGTATTTTAGAACAGTAGACTATACTCTAATAAATCAACAGTAGATAGATTGTTTAAACGAGAAAGATATATTTTACCAAGGCTAGTAAAAAGGGAAGTAAATAGTCAATATTTTATTAATTTAATCCTACTCCAGTTATATAAGGAGTTTATATAGTATACCTTCACTTATAGTATAACCCCTACTTTGGAAAGTCAGTCTATACTTTGAACTATTTAATGATAATCTCTTAGTATCTTATTAATTTATCCCATCTCGCTTTTATTGTAGCGAGTAAATGGCTATATTGTCCTTTATAATAGTAGTCTATTGGTTAGCCTCTGCCAATTATAAGGGAAAAGTGGATTGTACAGCTGGGAGCTTTGGCTAATAGTTAATTGATTACCGCAACCCGATGCGCACTATTGAATCTAATGTAGGATCTGCAGTTGTGTATTTCAACTATCAATAAGCTCTATATTATAACGCCAATCTTTTTAAGATCGTCGTCCCGTAACTAATTTGGATTGGTCAAAGATGATGGTCCACTTTTCTCTACTTGCGCTGTCACTTACTGTATCTAGGAGCAATGAGATACCTTAACAGAATAGTATTCATATGGTTATGCTCTCATTGGTTTCCCTAACGCAGATCACAGTAGTAAGGTTCCACCGGTTTCGCCTAACAGGGCCTAGCTTTGGAACATCCTATCTCCCTAATAAGTAGAGTACTAATAAAGACTCTCTGTTGAGTTATATCGAAAGAATTTTATTATCTTATCCTTCTCTATAATAGCTATTAATTTTCCTTCCCATCTAATCTCTTCTTTATCTTCTACAAATATTTTTCCTTTGTCGGTTTCAGACACAGACACTATACTCTCTGTTAATTACCACAACCATTGTTACTAAGGTATAAATATCCCTATTATCTAGCTTCTATGGTAATAGATATTCTTTTTGAGCTTTATGGCTAACAGGAGTATTATAAAAAAATAGAAACAATGCAACTTCTCCCAGCAATATTCCTTACAATTCTCGCAACAACGACGGTACAAGCTCGGGATTGTGTATGCACTTATGAGTATGCTCCAGTGTGTAGTGGCGGCGTTACCTATGGAAATGTATGTACAGCGAAATGTGCAGGAGCAGAGTCCGGTAAAATTGTGAAAGGAGAGTGCCCACTCGGTGCTCAAAACCTCACCAAACCCTGGCGCGGATGATCACAGTCCGCTTCTCACATGGATGGTGTTATGCTTCGTCTCAGCCGATGTGATTTTTCGAGGAGGGGAAGGGGTGGGGATACCACTTCCAAACTGTTTGAAAGTTGTTGATTCTTTTGATTGTACATTGTTGTATTTGGCTAGCTCAGTTATTTAAGATTTAGTTAAAATATCACCAATAAACTCTTCCCAGCCATTGTTTGCTGTGTAGATTTGTGAAGTACGTAGCCAATGCGGTCAAAATTAGAAAAGCCAATGCAGGTAAGATATATATGAAACGCACATGATTGAAGGACTATGATATTTTGGTCTTGTCAAATTATTTACAGTTCTCTCCTGATAAGTAGTGTACTATATATATACGTCGCTTTGAAGCCACATGTTGATACGCCGAAGTACTAACTAGCTTTTATCAGTCAGAGCGTCGTCAGCCAAAACACCACAGCCTACGCCGACATGCTTATCCTCAGCACAAACGCCAACAGGATTTCACTCGGCACAGCGTGTATCTACATTTAGAAAAAAAAGCTGTCTTATTCGTGTCCACTACCGATGTGCTATATCTCGAAAATTTGATAGATGTGAAGCAGAGAAGCGCTTAGGAGAAGTTGGCAATGATTGTGAGGATGGTGGTGGAATGCTCCTTCGGACCGAGTCCCCTTCCCAATTTTAATTCCTAGAAGTGGTTCATATCTTACCCCACTCCCTAACTTTCAGTCACTTCTAATGACATAGATTTGGTAGGTTGGACCGAGGATTCGCTTGGTATACAAGAATCATATGGGCCAACTGACCCTATTAACCTAATTTAACCTGGCCAAATGCCAGTCTACTCAGTATATATATTTCTATTTTACCTTACACTCTAGAAATAATCACTGAGGAAAAAGCGGCCCTGAGCTGAATCCTGTTCCAAGAGGAAAGTCCCAAAGTTTCCGCAGGAAAACAGTTCGCTAGTAGGGCACTAGATCGATTTTCTGGTGCGTCTTTCGATCGTTCCCGCAGCGTCCACTCAACCAGCCGACATTCAACAGTCAAAGACGAGAAATGAAAAAGAAGCCCCCGAATCTTTGGCTGTCCCTCCATGCTGAAAACGGTCAATCACCTGATATGCTGGTAGAATGCGCCAACATTATCTAAAAAGATACTCTCAACGTGAACTCTCGGATGTCTGGGCCATGTCCCATGAGACAACGACTTGTATAACAGACAATTGACTTCTGAATTGAACTCTATCGGAATTCTATTTCCAGTCTATGAAGCCGACATGTAAAAAGTGGTCACTTGCCCTGTACAAGTAATATTATCCGGCCAGGATAGCTGTCGGAAACGGCACGGTCCTAAGTAGGACAGCTCATGAGGTCAGAGCAACCCCGCTTGGGGACCTTGAGGGTCTCCACCGACAGGTCCCTTCTATAAATATACGTCCGGACCCAGCAGTGATACGTTACTCGACTCTTTTCTTTTCTGTATTGCAACGGTTCTATCATTCTGGGCTTATTATGGCTTTCAATCATACATAATTCATCACATTGATCTCATCAAGCGAGCATACAGATCAAACACTTTTCAGAATAATTTATTGACGGCAGTCCACGACGCAGCGGACACAGTCACCCTGCTTCATCTGCTCGAAGGCATTGTTGATTCCGTCAAGAGACTCGCGGTGGGTAATGAACTCATCAACCTTAAGCTGGCCGTTCAGGTAGTCATCAACCAGGCCGGGCAATTGGGTACGACCCTTGATACCACCGAAGGCACAACCCTTCCATACACGACCGGTGACAAGTTGGAATGCTGGTTCCAGTGAGTACAAGGAAATAAATTGTGCGAAGGAGAAATAGGAAACTTACGTCTGGTAGAGATCTCCTGTCCAGCAGCAGCAACACCAATGACGATACTCTCACCCCAACCCTTGTGGCATGCCTCCAGGGCAGCACGCATGACACCGACGTTACCGGTGCAGTCGAAAGTGTAATCACAACCACCGTCGGTCATCTCAATCAGCTCCTCCTGGATAGTCTTGCCGTTGAGCTTGGTGGGGTTGACGAAGTGGGTGGCACCGAACTTGCGGGCCCAGGCCTCCTTGCCATCGTTGACATCGATGGCGATGATCTTGCCGGCCTTGTTCTTGACGGCACCCTGGAGGACGGAAAGACCGACACAGCCGATACCGAAGACGGCGACGTTGGAGCCCTCCTCGACCTTGGCGGTGACAACGGCGGCACCGTAACCGGTGGTGATACCGCAGCCCAGCAAGCAAGAGCGGTCGGTGGGGATCTTAGGAGTCACAGCGACGACAGAGATGTCGGCGACAACGGTGTACTGGGAGAAAGTGGAGGTACCCATGAAGTGGAGGAGGTCCTTGCCGCGGGCCTTGAAGCGGGAAGTACCGTCGGGCATGACACCCTTACCCTGGGTGGCACGGATCTTGCCGCACAGGTTGGTCTTGCCGGACTTGCAGAACTTGCACTCACGGCATTCGGGGGTGCTGGTGGAGGTTAGTGGTGCTCTACACCGGGGGTCTCGGGCAGAGCGTACTAAAGAGCAATGACGTAGTCGCCGGGCTTCACGGAGGTGACGCCCTCGCCGACAGACTCGACGATACCGGCGCCCTCATGACCGAGGACGACGGGGAAAGCACCTTCGGGGTCCTTTCCAGAGAGAGTATAGGCGTCTGCGAATTGTCAGTACCCGCTGGAGCAGCGAGGGAGCGGGAGCGACGAACCAGTGTGGCAGACACCAGTGTGGTGGACTTGAATGCGGACTTCGTGAGCCTTGGGGGGAGCGACCTCGACGTCCTCAACGGAGAGGGGCTCGCCAGCAGCCCAGGCAACGGCGGCCTAGAAGAAGGTCAGTCGGACTGCGAGGGAAAAAAAATCTGCGTTGTCAGTCGGGTATTATTTACCTTGCAGGTGATGGTCTAGAGAAGTTAGCTAAGCTCGGCGAATAACCGTTGAGGAAAAGTGGGATGGCGGGGTAGGTACTAACCTTTCCAACAGTGTCAGCCATGGTGAGGGTATCTATGAGAAGACTGAACGGAGGAAGAGAAATTGATCGAAATCAAAACGGGATGATGAAGGAACGGAAAGAAAAGATAAATGGAAGAACAAAGCAGAGGGTGAAGAAATGGTAGGGAATGAGTTGCTTAAAACGGGAGCGTGCCATGGTGGGGTCTTTTTTATTTGGCGATGAGGGGAGAGGGGGTGGGGGGAAGCAGGGAAGGTGTTGGACCATGAGGGGAGAGCATCGTTGGAGCTATCTTACATCGGATTCTGAATATCTAAAACATTGGTTTCATCAATGGCTTCTTTTTGTTCTCAATCCCCTCATCCTCTCCGCATCGTGTTGGGGGCAGGATCCATAATGGAATCGATATTAACACCCAGCGCGGGTATGTATTCTAACCAAACCAACATGTTCCTACGAGGATCCAGAATTCTCCATGATAGTCGATTACCTCTTATGCTTATCCGCATGACTTGCATACTGCTAGGCCCAAGACCTTCCCATCTAGGTAGCATATTTACTTCCAGCTGGAGCTCTACAAGGGAGGAAAGAGTGAGAGCACCGGCGTTATCAGGTGCGCGGAGTCCCAATCCGGTAAAGTTTTCCACGTGGTCCGTGCACTTTCCGATGATGAAAGGAGATTCTCTCTTCCGCTGACTCGAGCACGTCGGCTGAGGAGAAGTTCTGCTCGGAAAAATACGGCTCTGAATGATTCATCTGCGCGGTGGATCATGCTGGCCCACTCCTCCCAAAAGGGAGATGGTTTCCATTAGCCAACCTGCTGTCCTGTACCCGCATCGCAAGATCGTTGCTCCGCCCCGTTCATCAGTATCTTGTTGGAGAAGTAAAAGTTGATAACAAGTGGATGATATTGAATTGCCAGTCTAGTTGTCTTGAGCATGGCGGATTTCCTTGGCAATTCGCCCTTATCTAGTTCCCGGATAGCATTCGCTTACTTGCTAGTTTGTCATTTACAGAAATCGTGGGCATGAAAACAAACGCCCGATGGTTTCAATTAAATACCTTAACATACCCATCAAGGGTCCATTGCACGTCCATAATCACTATATTGTACAGTACATTTCCCAGGGCATACGCTGAACAGCACCATGGATATATGCTTCTTGAGTTCATGTGACTCAACCAAGCAGAAGCCCTCCTTATCCAGATCATAGCCGAATCCCAGACCAAATGCAATCAATGGGGGTCATCATTCGAAAAGTCTAGTTTGTACACGAACCCGCCGAACCCAGAAGAAGAAGCAGATCATTCAATCAATCCATTACCGGCCGGGCATCTGGCCACTCTGCATCATGGCGGCATTCTGCTCCTGGAAGCGCTCGTTCAAGCGTTGAGAGCCCTTCAGGAACTTGTCCACGCAACGGAGGGTGCAGCCCTCCTCGCGGGAGATCAGGGACTTGGTGGTAAAGTCATTGACGCAGTCATCGAAGCAGCGCTGGACGAGCTTGGAGTACATCTAAATCGAAAATAATTTCAGTTAGATAGTGTTGGGAATGGAGACGCAGGTAGGGATAGATGTCGAATGTTTCCAGGATAGAACAGGTGTTCGAAGTTGAATTTAAAGTTGAATTGAGATACTGTCATCACATACGGTCATGAACTCCTTCAGCTGCTTCCTCTCCATGCGAGCGGCGAACTCGCGCTGTTCCGAGGCATTGAGTCTGGCAATAGTTCGTTAGCATCAGCCAGCAGTTTGTTGTCCGCACCGGAGCCATCAACCCAAAATTACATAGACAAAAGCGGAGAAAAATAAGGACAAACTTACCCTTCCATTATGATCGTAGATGTGTTTGTTTTGAATAAAACGGGCGATGGAGAGTGTGACGGCGTGATAAGAAATAACAATCTTCTTTTATTCTTCTGGGCGGTCGAAGCTTCGGAGCTCTCAACAGACCGCAGGCTCTGGTCTCACATGACCTCATGTGACGTCCGCCTCACCTGACCTGGACCTCGTGACGGTCATGTGATATATTACCTAAGGTCGGTACTGGCTGAGTCATTCAACCTCGGGGCACAGAAACGTGACGACGTCGACCAACCCAATTCGGCAATGTTACCGTCAATCACCAGAGTAAAAAAGAACAGAATACCCACAGGGGACCAGAACACGGTCTCCAGGCGCGGTGGCATGAAGGGAACCACGGTTGGCTCATGGGCAACACCCATTACTCGGGCAATTGCTCGCAGGGAGAGCCCTGGAGAGGCTCTCTCCAACCAGAAGATCGGCAGTGGGCAAAATACCGGCACCACGGACACCAGGGGCCTTCAACACCCTTCTTCGGCCTTCATTGGTCATTGCGTTGTCGCGGATTCTGATCATCCCTGACTCGTCAGAGAACAGAGAGGGGTTGGTTCTTCTTTTTTTCTCTTTGTTTCGGGTTGGCATCTTGGATGACACGAGAAAGATGATGATTGCTGTTGGGGAATTTACCCATGGACGCTGATGGTGCGGCAGTCATTTTGGACACAACGTTGCATTTTTAGGATCCATTCTTAATATAGATCGACAGTCATTGTCAGCCGAATCGTAGTCGTCTACACTTCAGTCTGGGCCATCGCTTGTTCTGGGACTGTTTTGGTTGAAGCCTTTCGCATTCTTTATCGCCATGCAACGATGTACTCCGTAGATGACAATGTATGTATAGCTTCGTCTCTGCTTCCTCACGGGACCTTCGCTTACCCTGACTAGTCCAATTAAACTCGACCTTTTCCGCTAGGGAATCCTTTAGTTTCAGATAATCACACGCTATAGTGAACCCTTGTTGGGTCCAGAAGAGACTCTGGATCCTTGGGTCGTCCTCTCCAGAACAAGAGTGATTGACATGAAATTTTGGTCTGACTGGTTCCTGGTCGGTCTGACGGATGGATTAAATTCTCATCTCATCAAAAGAGACTGACCTCTCAAGAACCACCGCTTTTCTCTTGCTCTTCCTTTTCTTCTTTTTTTTACCTTTCCCTTTTTCTCTTTCTTTTTATTTTTATTCGTTTCCCTTTCCCCTTGTGATTCTGGGGCCGACGGTTTTTAGCGTGCGAGCTATTGATTTTTTTTGATACAATTACCTACACACTTGCCCCGGTTGACACTGTCGATTATATTAGTGCCAATATGTTGTACCCCATACCAATAACCACCACCGCATACTAATCCCCAATTCGACTTCTAATTATTATTAGAAGAATTCTATTATATTATTTGATTGAATCCACCAACAGAGGAGAAGAGCTCTGGTCTCCCTTTTTCTCCCCCCAAGTTGTGTGTGTTCTCCGATCGATCATCCATCAAATTACCGTTTTCCCTTTGCCTCCCCCCCCCCCCCATTCATTCATTGAGAGTCCATTCAGGTCATCCTCCCCATCCTTCTTCCTTCATCCCCTCTCCCTCTCTCTCCCTCATTTTCTCATTCTCGTCTCCTTTGCACAACCTCCCTCTCTTCCCTGAAACCCCCCCCTTTTATCTGCGTGCCCCTTCTGTTTTTTTTATATCTGTCTCCGTTCCACATTTCAAGATCCCTCGTGCCGTCCATTAGAATTATTTTTCTACTCGTTTGGTCGTGCTTGGTTCCCAATTCTGTTCTCGAGTGACTACTTGCGGACGGCGCGGCACTTGACCACCCGCTGCCACGCTGACTAGTTCCTCGTGCTATTTTGGGGACCGTTAAATCCCCCCCAGCCCCAGAATTTCTTGCGCAAACACGAAGGGCGGTGACGGATCCCTCGGTTCATCGGTCTGGACCATATAATTCTGTCGCATTGTGCTAGTCTCCCGTTCCCATCGCACAGCGTCCCATCATGATCAGCAAATCTCAGGGCGCCGAGGCGTTTCAATCGCTGCCTCCCACCACCACCCAACCTAGGTTTATCGCCGCATCGCCGCCGTCGAAACGCGACTTGGCCTCGTGGTGGAGACAGTTCAAGAGAAATACCAGGAAAGAGGAGCCAAAAGGTACGTGTGTATGCGTGAAGGAGGTACATGACCTGCGGCAGCCTGCAGCCCGAGGTTGCGACGGGCGATGATGCCTTACCTTGGCCAGTTTCGAATCTGAAGGTCGCATCTGGTCTTGGTTTTCAACAATATCTTTTCTAGAGATAGTTGTCATACGTCATCTCTCGCACTTTTTTTGTCGCCGCCACCACCTCTGTGGACCTGATTGCTGACCTGCCGCAGAAAAACCGCAGGGTATCTTCGGTGTCCCCCTCAATGTCAGCATCAAATATGCCAACGTCGCGATCTCCCTGACAAACGACAATGGCGAGAGCTTTATCTACGGCTACGTGCCCATCGTAGTCGCGAAATGTGGGGTCTTCCTCAAGGAAAAAGGTACACACTCCGGGTGAGAACTTGTCGGTCAGTTGGCTGATCTGTGGGTTAGCGACGGATGTCGAAGGCATTTTTCGACTCAACGGATCCGCCAAGCGCATCAAGGATCTACAGGAGATCTTCGATTCCCCCGAGCGATATGGAAAAGGTCTGGATTGGACGGGCTATACAGTACACGACGCTGCGAACGTCCTCCGTCGGTATCTGAACCAACTCCCCGAGCCGATCGTCCCGTTAGAATTCTACGAGCGCTTCCGCGAACCCCTGCGCATTTATCAGAAACAGGTCCAGAGCGGTGGGCCTACGAATGAAGGCGAGAAGTTCGACCATGCGAAGGCGGTCGCCGCATACCAGCAGCTGATCAGAGAGTTACCCCCATTGAACAAGCAATTGCTCCTGTACATTCTCGATCTGTTGGCGGTCTTCGCTTCTAAGTCTGACCAGAATCGGATGACATCGGCCAATCTCTCTGCTATCTTCCAGCCTGGATTGCTTTCCCACCCCCAGCACGATATGTCGCCAGAAGAATACAAACTGAGCCAGGATGTGTTGATATTCTTGATCGAAAACCAGGACCACTTCCTGTTCGGCATGAACGGCACCGCTGCAGATGAGGCGACTGTGAAAGAAGTGGAAGGAGGTATGCTGCGTCCAACCTCCCATTCCACAGTGCGGCGCTCCGTCTCGAGTGCTAGTGGTGGTGCAGAGAGTTTCCGAAAGTTTGGCAGTCTTCGCCGAAACG